TGTGCATATGGTTATATAGAACAAAATATTCCCGCAAGGACCAAATAACTTCCTTGCCATGTCACTCTAAGAAAATTACATATAAGCACAAAATTACCAGTTCAAATTTGTTTACGATTTCGTAGTTCGCCAAACTAGACCTGCTAGAAGTAAATTCCCTAAATAATAAATTGATTTATAAAATATGTACCTGCAGGTAAGGCAACTGCCAAAATTTCTACCTTGAGAAGGACAGCATGAAATATCAGAGTTTGAATTCTATCAGATCTTGAATATGTTAGGAAAAATAAAATGTTTACGCAAACGGATGATTTCGCAGATAGGGCATTTACTAAAGACATTGACTCGACAATAAAAGAGGCTGAAACAAAGCTTACGAGGATGGAAGAAGGCTATAGAGTTACCTGGCAAGTGCGAGGACTAACATCAGCACGGAACTGAGAAGCCATCCTGCGTCTAAAAATGCTTTAGGTAGAGCCAACGCGCCCGTTCCCACGATAAGATTGAAAAGAAAGATGGAGGTAGACTAAAAAAAGAATAATACGAAGCTAACTAGCTTGGAGATTGCAGGACCCGATGAAGGAGTTAGGGTCATTTTCAAAGTGACCACATTAGGCAAGTGTAAATAAATATGTTATATAATCAAAAAGTTTAATAATAAAAAATTATATATTTATTTAATTTTTAAAAAACACAAAATACAATTACAAAGAATTTAAAATTTATTTATTTTTACATTATAATAAAAATTTAACATGAATAAGGTTTTTTGTTTAATTTTTTGTGCTTTAGAATTCTTTAAATCTATTGACTTCCGGAAGATTTACACACCTCACACAGCTCCTCAAGATGGCTCGCTATGGCAGGGAGCCCCCTCGCATCGAAGGGATGGTTTCGCTAAAGGTTGACAACCTCGCCTACAGAACGACAATTGATGAACTAAGACGTATCTTCAGTCGATACGGCGAAGTTGGTAAATATGACTTATTGTGACTTTTTTAAGGTGATGTTTACATCCCGAAAGACCCATACTCATATGAGAGTCGTGGTTTCGCGTTCGTCCGCTTCTACTCTGACCGCGACGCCGAGGATGCTATTCGTGGAATGGACGGGCGCCGCATCGACGGAAGAGAGGTTCGGGTACAGCGAGCAAAATATGGAAGACCCAACACCTATAAAGGAAGGAGCAGGTAAGCTTTCACTAATCTCGGGTTTTTGGACCGAATTGTGCTCTCGTTTTTGTCTGAGCAAAATTTATTGACGCTCACTGGCTGTCTAATTAACAGTTAAACAGGCGTTAAACATGTATTTTTCTTTCCCTTATTACTGCATCCGTCTTGCTCTGGACCCAAGACTTCACATCTTAAAACCCGCACGGCTTAAGAACCTTCATATGTGATGGTGTCATTTCCGTGCAACATAATTGGGCTTTCGCTAGCGGCCCTTTTAGTGTCCGTTAGAATCAGCCTTCACATTTTTTCTCCGTTTTTACTTAAAAATTTTTGCTTAAGACCTGAGCGCTTCAAATTGTACACGCCTAGCGTGTACGCCGCAAAAGCGCAATAGAAATGCGCTTCTCTCTGCGTTCCGCTACAGCTATCTGACCTAGTCTGCCTACCAGTTTAGGTGCCTCCTGTCCAGCTGCCCCCTGGCCTGTGCGGTAAAGGAAGCTTTGGATGAGTCTAATGGCGCCGCAATACCGCAAAATCGACAGCTTGTTTATAATCCCACATTATCTCAAGTTACATTTCGCCCATATTTTCTTTCAAATTGTACACGCCCAGCGTGTACGCCGCAGAAGCGCAATACAAATGCGCTCTGCTACAGTTATCTGACAGTGAACACCTATTCAGTAGCCCCCAAGCATGTGCGGTAAAGGAAGCCTTAGATGAGTCTAATGGCGCCGCAATACCGCAAAATCGACAGCTTGTTTATAGTACTACTTTATCTCAAGTTATATTTCGTCCATAATCGTTCACTTTTATTTTCAGACATTCGCCCTCCCCTCGGCGCTCTGGCAGGAAGTCAAGGTCCCGCTCGAGATCGTTCTCCTCATACAGAAATGGAAGACAGTCATCCGGAGGCCGATATCGGTCTAGATCCAGATCGCGCGAACGGCGCTAGGTTTTTATTCCGCTCCAGACGCTCTTTGTATGCATCAGTTATCTTTTCAACTGTCATTCTAATACATGTCTTTTCCTTCAAAGTTTTCAGTCTATGAGCAGTTGGTCGCTGTACTGCATCTGAAATGCATGATAGTCGCGGAGCTGTTCATTTGGTTCCCGAGCTTGTCCACCAGCATGCTGCGTTTCAGGCGCGGAGCTGCGGTGTTGGTGTTTAGGCGGGTCATAGCCGGGCTTGTTGGTGAATAATAATCAGTTCCTTGATGGTGGAATCAAAGATATCGAGAGCAGTTTACCAGTCCAAATCCTGTATCTGCCTGGGTTCACGGTGCAGTTGCTTCCACTGACTGGAGTAGCCGGTGTGCGGGACTTTAGTGAGTCAGGGCAGAACCTGATTTCCCGTTGCGAGTTTGGTGCGTTTCCTGGTCTGTGCTGCTGGGGCTGTAGCTGGCTCCTGTGAAGAGACATACCTGGTTTTTTGTTCGCGGACTTCCATAGGCATAGTTTCGAGTTGATCGCAAATCTCGCTACATTTAGTCATTTACGTCCGCAGGTAAGAGATCGTGAGAGTATTCCAATAAATTTTCCTATCACGAACTCTCCTTTTCACTTTGGCTCCGTGCGTTAGTGCCTCAATTCGACGTCCCGGCTAGCCCCGACCTATCGCTCGAGCTAAGTTTAGAGCCACCTAATCGACTAGACATATAGGCCGCAGAATTCAGAACAATTGCTTGTTTCTCGAATTTAATCGTTTGAGGTATGGAGTAACATACGTGCTACAGGCGTACGCCCATCGCACTGCGTTGTTGGGTACGGGGTGAGAGAATTTACAAGGTCATGTTTAATCTGTTCGTCGTGTGCTTGCGTCCTGTTTGCTCGTCACAGTCTGGGCACACGAAACAACGTGTAGTGCCCTAGAAATTTTTTGGGGCTTAGATACACAGAATGTTCGTCGAGCGCCATTTAGCATGGGGAGCCCGATTTTATTTGGTCGGGGAAAACCACCAGAGACACGCTTTGTCCTCTTGGTCCTCCGGCTGCTTCGATGAGCTGCTGCTGTGCGGCCGTTGCGAAGATCTGTGCCTGATGGGGGGTGGCCATCGAGACTGTGCCTAAGGAGGGCAGTCCAGACTGGGAGGATTGCGTCGCGAAGGCCGGTAGGCTGATAGACATGCCCGCTATCTGCGGGCTCACGGCTTGGGTTAGTGTCGTTCCGATAGATGTAGCGGAGGGGTTGAGGCTGTTGGTTGAGCACGTTGGTAGGCTTGGCGGTGAGCTGGACATCGGTGTAATGTGCGCGATCGCATCGACAGAATGAAGTGGGGATGCAAGTTGTGAGTGGTTTGGGTTCACATGCTGGTACGTAATCTGACCCCCCAGGCCACTGACGCTCGCTATAGCTACTCCGCCAGGGCCAGTCGCAGTGGCCATAGGCGGAGAGGCAAGAAGTTGGGACTGGGTAATGGGCTCAAGTATACCGTGGTTGGCGCCAGGGTTCGAAACGAACTGGACCTGTGTAGGCATGCCGGTGGCGAAGCCGGGACCGACTAATTGTGAAGGCATCATTGACATGTTGGATTGGGTGATAGTAAAAGGCATGCCAGGGGGAGCACCGAGAAGGTGGGTGCCATGCTGTCCAGGTGATTGGAGTAGACTACTCGGAATGGAGCCCATTTGTGCGCTGATTGCATGAGTCGCCCCAGTGGCAAACATACTATTCCCAACTTGTACAACCTCTTGGATCGTACCGCCTTTGTGGTGAGGTTGCGTTGATATGGTCAGTTGCCGGGGTTGGTTGCTTGCGGAAACATTTACACCAGGAATCGTGTGGGAAAATACACTGATAGGACCGACTTTGACAGGAATGTTCCGTTGTGCACAGTTTGCACCTGTGGATAGAACAGAGACTGTGGAGGATGTGTTTGAATTTGCGAGTGCAACAGATGAAATTGGTGTTTGCAAGGTTTGATTTACGGCACATGTCGACATTATCGGAATAAACGGCAAGCATTGGGCGTGTTGGGAGACAACGGCGCCATGCAAAGGGTTAGCTCCACCAGCCATGCTCGTAACTATGACTGTGTTTTCTGGAAGGATAGCCGTCCCGCCAGAGGTTTTGATTAAAGTCTGTGAGGATAGCGAATTTGGGACTGAAGTGAGGGTTATGCATTGTTGGTTGCCTTGATTCATTGGCGCCCCAATAACGTTAATGTGATGCGGGGACATTAAATGACCACCATGACCAGGGATAGAGGAAAGCTTGATAGCGTCACCGCTCGAAAGAGTTATCGTATCTTTGATGTCCTGGCCGATGATGGAAGGCATATTAATGAGAGTGGTCTCTTCTGGCTTATTAGCTACTTTGGTAAGAGGAAGAGATAGTGACATTGATCCATCGTGAGAAATAGTAGGAAGAGCACTCGTCATAGATACGCTTGGGACAACGGAGAGCAGGGATATATTAGAGGTGGTAGCTTTTGAGCCATTTAAGAGATTCGCTTCAATGGGAATGCCTGAACAGTTTTTGTTGTGAGTTTTCTCGTGCCGTTTCATCCCAGAATGGTCTCCAAATTGACGACCACATACATTGCATGTATAAGGACGCTCTCCAGTATGCGTCCGCATATGGCTTCTGAGATTACTAGATGTTAGAAATTCTTTTGCGCAAACGGGACATCGATGCCGCCTATCTCCGGAGTGCATGCGTTGGTGTGTTCGAAGACTAGAAAGCTGAGTAAAACGCCGACTACAGACTATGCACCCATACGGCCTCTCACCAGTGTGAGTCCTAGAGTGAATTCGTAGATTTGCCAATTTCCCAAACTCTCTCCAACAAACGGGACAGGACCATGTGCGAGTAACCTTTCCTCCATTTGCCTCGACAGCATTGATTGCCGCATTAGTAACAGCATCAGCAGATTCCGGATGGAGCGCCCGTGCGTGCTTGCTAAGGTGGTGAAACTGGGTAAACCAACGCGGGCAAAATATACACTTAAAACGATGTGCGTCACTTGGTGGTGCAGCAAGTAAATCCAAAGCAGCTATCGATGGCTCAATTTTAACGCCAACGGTACTAGAAGCTATATGATAAAATAGGTAAATAATGTGGATTAATACCTAAAGGAGAACTCGTAGAAACAGAGGTAGGGGCATCAACGAACGCCTCAGAAGTTGTGAGTTGGTCACTTGCTTGAGGCGTAGTTGCAGAGGGTGCATTACCTTCAGTGCTCTCAGAACTATCATTGCACTTGTCTACAGAGTTAGCAGTTTCTTGAGGTTCAGTCATAGTTAAAGAAATTAGGAACATATGATCCGGCGAATCCAATGTGCTAAAGAATAGTTTTCAGGATAAATAAATAATTTGATCATTATAAAAATAATGCATTAAAATTTTATATCTACCTTAAGATAAGCTAAAGGAGCATTACTGGCTGAAAATAGGTAATAAATTCAAGAAAAATCGGACAAAACTCCAGAAAGCAAAATAGCCGGGCCGAATCGAGAGTGTACTCAAACCAACAAGACCATTATCAATATCAGAGTACCACCATAAAATTGAGTTATTACTTTCTGATTATATATTCATATATTTATTTAAATTTTAGAATAAAATACAGCAATATGATTGCTACTTTGTCTAATGAATAGCATGGCGACAATTAGAATTAATTAGAAGATAAAAAGATATTAATATTTCCTACTATATACTATTGCCTCTATTTATATTTAACTTTATATTGCTATACTTTTTTGCAAATGTATTTCTGTAGCTCTGTGTTCTCTTCTCTACACTCAGTTTAATCAATCGATTTGCAATAGGATTTTTAGGCCAAGCTTGATAATCGAATTTTCTTACAACGATAACCTGGATATCCTACTTTTTTTAAATATAGGATATAATAACTCGTCTTTTTCGATCCATTACCTTTTGATGACAAGTTAATGTCATTACCCTACAATGAAGCAAATTTTGTTTAAAATCTTACCCTCCCTATCAATCAATTCTATAAATCTAATTATGCGACCTTAAGAGACCCTACCATTCGGATAAGGTTAATTAGCATCTCCACCAGGCTTCTCTTCATACACTAAGTGAGACATATGATACAGAACGCAACAAGTTGTTTAAGTTTATTGATATTAAGTCAAAGCTCCGGCGTGATTTGGCCAGGATCCTGTCTCTGGAAGATTTTCAAAAACTCCAGAGCATTACAGACAGGAAATTACGTAGGATTTCGGACTTAATAACCAAACGGCATGACGATAAACTGCTTAAGTTCGGGATTTTTAGACAGCCTATGTTGAGGACAGTACGCCCTGTTGGAGTGGTTTCCAAAGTGACAACACTTACTGATCAGCACAGGGATAGG